AAATTGACCAGATTTAAGGTAGAGTACATCCTTTGGAAATTGTAATATGTGAATCAGGAATTGTTTGTTATATAAATAAAATCGTTAATGTTGGGGCTGACTAATATGAAGTGTTAACTTGAATCAGTTTATAAGTGAAATGAAATTGTGAGATAAATTATCAGAATAAATATGGTCAACATGGGGTAAGAGAGAGAGAGAGAGAGAAAATTGTGATTACAAATCGGATATTGCGTAATATGTAAAATAATTGAGTCAAATATAGTAGATTCAGGGGTGGATATTGAATAAATTCATCAAAAAGGGGGTTATCAAGTGTAAAGACAATAATAATAATAATAATAATAATAGTAACAGTAATAATAAGTTTGGGACATAAAATGAACATTAATCAGATTGGGTCACCACATTATAAGATTGATTATTAGCTGGTTGGCCTCAGAGTTGGCCAGGGTAAAAGGAGTGGCTGAACATACTTCTTTTGGATACAAAGCTCTCCACACAACCAATAATCACTCCGAGGTTAAAAGATAAATTACCCAGACTAGCCACCTCCTTCTGTATCTATCAATTTAACTGCTCCTATGGAGCAAGTTATATTGGCAGATGTTCTAGGAATTTGTACATTCGGGCTCGTGAGGACCTGCCCGTGTGGTGAAGCAAAGGTGTTGTCAAAACTGTTAACAGCTTCATCTGAGACCATCTAATCCAAACAGGACATACAGCCAACATGGAGCTATCTTTTGCAATAATCTATCTTGTTAACAGCAGTCTACCTAATTCCGTCAGACGGCGAATCCTATAGACGGCTGAAGCAATTGCTATTCGGATCAAAAAGCTCGAGCCAGAGGAATTTATTTAATATCCATTACTGAATCTACTATGTTTGATCTAATTCATATTATTTTACACATTACGTAATTTCCGATTCGTAATCACAATTTTCTCTCTCTCTCTCCCTCTTACCCCATGTTGACCATATTTATTCTGATAATTTATCTCACAATTTCATTTCACTTATAAACTGATTCAAGTTAACACTTCATATTAGTCAGCCCCAACATTAACGATTTTATTTATATAACAAACAATTCCTGATTCACATATTACAATTTCGAAATGATGTATTTTGCCTTAAATCTGGTCAATTTTATGGATTATTAATCTGGATTTATAATTGTAGAACCTGATGAGAAATTACTGAAAAGAATATTCTTCGTTCATACAATTGTGTTTGAATATGAAATTCTGAAAAACAAAAATCAAAATGTACCGAAAATTCTCTGGACCTAATCAAAACTAACGTATACCATTAATGTTAGTTACAATAACATAAGTATTTATTCATTGTTCTAGTAGACCTATCATATTGCACACTTTCACTCTATGTAATTTATGTTTAGATCTAAATTCAATTTTTGTTCATTTGGATGGATCATAACAGTAATGTTAAATAATACACTACTTGGATATCAACTAATCATAATTAATCATACATTGATTAATAATCAAAATTGGTAGATTTTTTTATGACCAAATTATCTGAGTTCTCTGATTAATTAATTGTTACCAAGATTTTATAAAAATTCACTTATACTATTATTAATTAGTTGATTAATATATTTGTTGAAAATTATATTATATTTATTATCATATTATTTCTTTCAGAAAATGTTTCAACGTGAATATTGATCTTTGTCATGAGCATGTTATACTGAAAAGAAGTAATAAATCTTTCAGTTGTTCAAACAAGTCATTTAATGAATGATATACGTTTTATTTGTTTTCGTTTAGCGTATACTGAAAAAAATAAGATCATTCTGTGAGTATAAGAGTAGGTTTGTCATCCTAGGCTTTTGTTTTTGACATAGTGCAGACATTGCATACATTTTAAGCAGAGATTGATAGTGGCTAACAGTGGACTCCACGATGCACGCCACTTCTTCTTATTTGGGACTCGTCAGATGGATGTACCTGCATCCAGCAGTTGATGTACACACTGAAAGTCAAACTTAGTACCGTTTGCTTCAGACACCATTGCGTTATCCATTTAGCTACTGAGCCATGATAGCCACTAGCATGTGCAATGAGGTGAAGTAATGGTTGTTTGAATCAACCAAATTGATGTTTATGACTGTAATTGGTTAGTCTCATATTGTCATATATGCTTCCTGTTCATATTGCCTCGATATTGACTTAAGTTACAAGCATTCTAAGCACTTATTCATTAACACATTTTTTAGTTAATCCGATCATATCAGACTGTACTAGGAACATATTTCGTACCAAAAGAATAACGAAGGTAACTATTCTGTAAATTAAAGTGTTATTCCCGTAGGAAAAAATTGGAATTTATCAGATCTGCATTCATAACAAACTAAAAACGTATTTGTGCGTTGACTGTCGGTATCGGTGTTTAAAAACCGTCAGTGAATATATCAGGTAGGCAACTACTACCTGACTATGACTACATAAACAAGTTGAGTGTCATTTTGCCTACATTGGATAGATAGTGTCTAAGCATCGCTTTTAAAGATAAAAATGACATTTGATCCCTTGTGACAATTTAAAATTTTTATAAGCATAAAATAGTTTAGAGACTACCAAATTTTTCACAAGAATATTAATTTACTTATGCAGTACAAAGATAAAATACAATAAACATGGTGATTTGTCTATCTTTTTCAGTGATGTTATTAGATATTTCACGTTATTAAACGTTTTACATCGTTGAGTAAATTACTGAAGTAAAACTACCTTTTGTGCAGTATATTTTTCTGGCTGTTACTATTCTTAAGTGTTTAATATTGACAACAGTTAATTAATACACTCAATTTAAGTATGAACTTATCGACTTTGAATTTTGTCTCACGTTATGGACAATCGTCACATTCGGGTTGATTGTAGCGTGTTGGTGGTACTGAGTTAATTCTACTGATCACCAACTGTGAAAATGCTTCTCCAGGTAAAAAGTCTTTCTTGTAAATATGAAAAAAACAAGCTGAAATGTTAATCTTCTGGTAAGAAATAGTGGCCAGTAAAACGGTATTATATTTCAATGAGGTTATTATACTATCATACTATTTAGTTGAGTTACATATGTCACTAACCAAGTAGACAGCTGTTTGAAAGACATTGTTTGATTGTTTTGTTATTACAGGAATTGGCAGAAACTGAAGGGTAGGCTATGAAATTCTGACTTCGTCAAATGAAGATGAAGGGTCTAGGTCCAATAGTATAATGAACTGTAGATTAAATTGGTAGATTAAGTGATTAGAATTTAGAAAATTAACCGCCGTAAAACAAGGACTGTATTCATATCTAACAGCAGAATATAAGATTCTGAAGTGGAATATGGTAAGTGGACCAAAGTACAAGGGAAAACTGATTTTATAGGTGTTTACTTCCCTGTTCTGGATTATTTGATTATGGAAAATATAACAGTGGAATGGCTACCAAAAATGTTAACTGAGATAAGAAAGTGAAGGGGACTAGAATCTATGTCTATTGATAACTAGTAAATTGCTTGTTACAATTTTTATCAGACTTTAATTATAAAGTTGCCTGTAGCAATAACTTCAATACATACTTCTTTCAAATGTTATCCTTTTTTTCGCTTCACTGTTATTTTATGAAATTGCGAAGTGTTAAAGAATTTACTAGATATCCATATGTTTTTTACTATGCAAATTTAATCATGAGATCTGTCTAAATAATTCAAACATAATTCATACATATTTCTCAAGTTATAGGCTTTGGTTCCATAAACAAATTGGACAAAGATTGCATTTTAACTATATTTAAATCACCAATAGTTAAGTACTAGTAAAATTTTTTAGATATAAGTTCTTCGAGTGGGTCAGATTACAAGACCGTAGTTCATTTAAAAAGTGTTTTAAAACTTGAAAACCTCAAAAAGATGTCTATTCTGTGCATAAAATCAGTCAGAAAATTCACATAACTACATGATTAGTTAGATAAAATCAGAAATATCAATGTACCTGCTTTTTCTGGAGATAGTGGTTAGAGGGAATCAACAAAAAATCGTGAACCTAGATTACGTGTTAGTTGACACTCATCAGCAAAGTGTACCTGTAATCTTGTGAGAACTGATGCTTCCTGATGGATTCGATCCAGTGTCTTTCAGCTTCACAGCCACAGACGTTGCCACTGAGCTATCCAAGCACTGATCAGTCTTCTGTAAGACTTTTTGTTCACATAAACTTGATCATTAAAAACGTATGAATTAACCATCAGTTTATGAATCTCTTATTAAATATCAATCAAAACATTCAATATGTAACAACACATCTAAGTGTATCAATAGATTATAGCTTGATATAACAATGATTATTTTCATATTCCATTGAGATAAATCTAATTTGTTTTAATCTCCATGTAAAATATTATACAGAAATTAAAATATTTTACTTGAAAAAAAGAATTCTCCTAAAGATTTTTATTTGATTTTGCCAAAGTAACAACAAAAAATTAAATTAAATAATCATTCAAAATTCTGAAAAAATATTTTTGAACACTTTTTTAATTATCATTAAAAGTATAAGTTTATTTATTTATTAAAAAAACAATAATAATAATAATGAATAAGTTATGGAAAAACGTTATTAAACTGGGAAAAATAAACATTTACCCTCCAAAAAAACTTTCCATGCATACCATTTGTCATATATATGTATTTTTTTTTGGAAAGTTTGCCCGTTTTTTTCTTGTTTTGTTTTTTGTTTTTTACTATTAAAGTATGAGATGAATTTTTGTTTCTTTTTTTAAAAAATTTTTTTCTTAAAATAATAATCTTTTCTAACTTATTTTTAATAAATAAAATAATATAAAGTAAATAAATCGACAATGAAAAAATGTTCATCCATTTTGTACATTTATTTATAAACCACGCAATATGATTGGCTAATTTATCTAAAAATTTCATTGGTTAGAAATATAAGTTAATGATATTTAAATTTTAAAAAAAAACTAAAAATTTTATTTTCAATGTTGTCATCTATATTTATATAGTACAATGATCATTTTAAACAATCATTTATGTATTATCTTCCTTGTTAAATACAATTCTATGAAAATGCATGAAAAAAGATAGAAAAGAAGAGAGAAAAATAAACAAATAAACAAACAACCAAATAAACATTTACTAAAACAAGATGTAATTCTATGTTTTAGTGTATATAGTATGTTGTTGATAACCAATTTCATTTGGAATAATTTAATTATTAAAATACAAATTATTTTATTGACTGTTTTTGTAAATTTATTATTATTTACTTTAAATACAATTGAAATTTCACCTGAAATGTATAATTTATATGAATCAAATTTATTTAAAAAGAATTTGCCTTATTATACTACTGGATCATATTCACAAACTATTCAAAAACAAAAATTGGAATTAATACCAATAAAATCATCTCCTGAACATGGTAAGTAACTTCATTGTTGTTTTAATAAATAATGTAGTTTTTAGTTTTAATCGGAATTCTAAAAGTCCAAGTACTTTTTGTGTTGAAGTTGTGGAGATAGTTGTATTGCATTGTAATCAGGAATCAACATAAATTAGACAACCGTTACAAATCTATGACACTAGATGACAATTTCATTTTAACATAGTGCACCTCAGCAAGGCTTATTCACGACTCTAACATTGGGAATCAGACTTAAGACCTATGGTTTCACCAGTGAAAGCTTGACTTCTGGATTATTGATATACATCGAGAATCTTTTGAAGTTAGATATGTACACCACTGTATTCCGCATCAGCCGTTTAGAAGTTCGAGGGTTTTATGCTTAATTCTCCATGATGAGTTCATGGACAAGCACTGTTGATGAGTCTTATCTAAGATGAAGTCAGCTGTTCAGTGCTTTTAGACTATCAGTGGTTATCCAACCTAGGTCAGTTTGTGATTTCACGACACATATTGTAACAGATCCTGTTGATATTGTTACATCAGGAAGAAATGTAAAAGAATTTAGTTTAGAATATTTTTTATATTAAACATAGAATGTACAAACTTCATCAGGACTAGATGAGCACATTTTTTCAACAAATGCAAAAGCGACTGAATGTTAATAGGAGTAATAACAGTTGTCCTATCGATAGATATCATTACGTATTTTATCATATTCTTTCTAAACGTTATGCTTTAAAAACAAGCAGAGACAAAACTACTGAAACATTTCTCTCTTAGTAAAAATTATAGATTTACAACCTGGATGACAACATGACTTATTCTTATCTTTATTTGGCTACTTTAAACGTAAGTATAAAATAAAACTTGTTTCTTTGAATCCCCATTGGAAACTACTCTGGAATTTAAAAGAAACAGAACCATCGACTATTAATTTTATAGCAACCAAAAAGATTTTGTTTGAATAAAAGCATTTTGTTACTAGAGTAAATAGCTTTTTTTTCTCCAGTAATTTAGTTGTGAAATTTAGGGGTGGATTTTAAAGATTGAAACGCATCACTTATTCAACTTTTAATCGTAAATGTTTTTTTTTCTTTATTTTTTATAAGTGAAAATGAAATTTAATATCAAAAAAGTGTTGACGCTATTAATGTCTGCAAATTATTTTCGAATCATGTGAGGAAGCAAAAAGTTATGGTTGTTTAAATTAATGATTTAAAATATATGATAATGAAGTCTACATCACGAAGTAATTTTAGTTAGACAACTATTAAAAAACATTGAGACGTAAAACAGTTGTTTCATTCTAGCATGGGATTGCTTGATGGTAATGAGCAACCACGAGTCCATTTGGAATCAAACTCATTACCTTCATGTCTCACGTTATTCATTTAATCTGAAAAAATTATTTATTTGTTTAATCTGATTACATCTGACTATCATGTGGCATAAATATCACTAATTTGTCCCTCCCTAGTGCTTCTATAATTGTAATGCTGTCGATATACTAAATGAACAGAAATTTGTATTTCAGTAGACTGTTTAATGAATTGATGAGACTATAATAGTAAACAGCATAAAATTGGCCTCTAAATAGTATCAGGTTGCAGTAAAAACTGTTTTAATAATGCTTTAATGAAAATCTTGAAGTTTTATCGAAAATTGTTGTAGATTTTAGTTGTTTAGCTAACTGAGAACGTTAAACAGTTCTCATAAAGTAATGATGGTACTGCTTCCTCTAAATTTCAGCAGTATTTTAGCTAACATCATTCAGTAGAGAAAATTAATTTTTAAATTCATATCTTATTAATAAATCAATAATTCGAGTAATTTTAATTCAATAAAACAACTATAAGTACTGATATTTTACAATTTCTTAACGGTGATTTCATCAAAACATTTTAATGCAGTAACTGTCTAAACTTATTTAACTAACATTTTACGCCAAAAGGCAACATTTTTCTTCATAACGTTTTCTAAAATATCCTCAACAGATTTGTAAGTTCATATTCTTCCTAAACCATATATATATATAACACCAGATAATAAATAACTGTCCTTAAATCAAGAGTAGCATTGAAGACTTTTCCAATCAATGTAAAAGAGGATATTAAGAAAATCAAATAAAAAACGGAGTGACTGCGATTGTTCTTATTTAATATTGTATAGTGTTTGTATCAGTAGTTTTCGTTGATCTTATTTACTTACTTACGCCTGTTACTCCTCGTGAAGGAGCATAGGCCGCTCACCAGCATTCTCCATCCAACCCTGTCCTGGGCAATCCTTTCTAGCTCCGTCCAGTTGTAATTCATCGTTTTCATATCTGCTTCTATTATCCGACGCAATGTGTTCTTTGGCCTTCCTCTTTTTCGCTTCCCTTCAGAATTCCAAGTTAGGGCTTGCCTCGTGATGCAGTTTGACGATTTGCGTAATGTATGTCCTATCCATTTCCATCGTCTTTTCCTAATTTCTTCTTCAGCTGGAAGTTGGTTTGTTCTCTCCCACAGAAGGCTATTGCTGATGGTATCCGGCCAATGGATGTTGAGTATCTTGCGTAGACAACTATTTATAAATACTTGTACCTTCTTGATGGTGGTTGTTGTAGTTCTCTAAGTTTCAGCTCCATCCTAATTCTTCAATTATCTATGTAGAAATAAACTTCTTTTTATAATTATATACCCCTTTATCAATTTCATTATTTTACTTTCATACAGAAGAAAATGAATTCGGACATTGACATCAGTATTTGTAGACACATTTACTAACTAAAATAGATTTATGCTCATGTTTACAATTTTTTTCTTCATTATTCTTCGGCCTAATCAAAAATGTAACTGTCTAGAATTCTCAAGATTTATCATAGATAATTTCTTTTTGTTTCTTGTTTTTTTTTTAAATAGTAAATCTATTTTCACCGGAAGACTCACTTACTACTTGATCGAAGTTAACAGTGTATTAATAATAATAGCCACTATCCATCTGTGCTTATAATGCTTGTAAATTAAGGCAATATCGAGGCATACGCACAGTATGCACATATGCCAATAAGAGACTGATCAATTTCAGTCCTAAAACATCAATGGGAACATTCAAGTAAAACAATATCAAGTGAATTAAACTTCACCCCATTGCACAAGCAAGTGGCTATCAGGACTCAGTAGGTAAGTGGATAACGCGATGGCGTTTGAAGCGAAGTTCGAGTCTCAGAGTGAACATCAACTCTGAGATGCAGGTACATCCAGCTGACGAGTCCCAAACAGGACGAAACGCGCGTCCTTGATTCCACTGCTAACCACTATCCATCTTTGCTTATAATGCTTGTAATAACAATAATAGTTTATCTTCTTTTCTGAAATGAATGCAAATCATTCACATTATAATCTTGAAAAAGTAACCTTATAAACTTCAATAATGACATTGAATTTTTGTAAAGAAATGATTAAAATAGTCTATAGAATGACAATGTATCACAATATTTAATAAAGTATATAATCAATGTATCCGATTTAAAGTGATATGAGAAAGAGAATATATAGTTGCTATTCAAGAATAATTAATTGTGGGATATGAAAATAGTTTGACATCGGCTAACACAAGATAAACTGAAATAAAATATTGATAAGTTTTATGTTGACATTATTGTTCATCAAAAATTCTACCTTTCCGTTTGTTTGTTTGTTTTTTTAAAAAAAATAAAAAAACAGGAGTTTCCAAGTGAATACAATATTGTTATTTTGTTATATATTAATTAATTTACTTCTTACTTTGATATTCATGTCAGTAACAAACAAAAACATACCTTGTAAAGAATTAATAATTAAACATCAGTCTCTTAATCAAACACAAATAAAGAATTTAAATATCAAAATCATAAAACTCAATGAAAATAATATGAAATGCATTGGTAGTTTGTTTGTAAAAAAAATGAAATTTAATGAAAATACCTGCTTTATGATATGTACTATGCCCTGTCGAAATGTGGTACCGGTTGCTATGTCAAGCCCTCATAGCTTATTTCGCCTTCCGGACAGATCAGTTTATTGATTCTTCTTGAGTCACTTTTCTCCTTGTTAATTATTCACCTCTCCTTGCTCTACCTCAACTACAAATACTGAGTAACGCTTAATTAAAGTGCGTCGACTCACCCGCTTTCTCCATTGAGCGTCATTTTGTTTTGCGTTTCTTTCCGATCAACAATTGTACGAAATATGAGTATTCAAAAATCCATTCTCGTATTTGACTTATTTAAATCCATCTTACGACATAACTGGAGTCAGATATAGGGCCACTAAAAAATATCAAGTGACTCAATCGCCACTTAGTACACCGACTTAAATGACTCTGACACTTTGCCAAACCAATAACTTTCTAACCGGTACGATCAGCCTAGTGTCAAATCCAAGTTGTTTTCACTTTCTCAGTCAGTAGTTTCTCATTTAACCCAGCCGGTTTAGTCCAAAACACAAATATCAGCCTCCGCTGTATCAATCACGCATTTTAGACATACGCAGTCTATATACAAGCAAATCAGACCGCATCATACAATAAAATAGAAAATAACAATTATGCGAGATTAAACCAAAAGTGGTTTTGAGTGTTAGATACTATAACTAATAGGTTGGGGATAGTAAATCGTATCATGGTAGCCACTAGGACAAATGAAAGCTTATAATAAGAGAACTAAATATATATGATCTAGTTACTTAATAGTTATACAATAAGAGTATATATCTCAATAGTTCTTAAAAGTTACCCATAATTTAATCTTCTTCGAGTATAACAATTTATTTATACAAATAAAAGACTGTGGTAAATCATGATATATGACAAATCATTCATCATAAATCATTTTAAATCATTTCATCTCATTCATAGTTAACATAATTTTATTTGTTTTTTCGTGAATAAAAAGAAAATAAAAGATTGTTCTTTTTGATCCGAATAAAGAAAAGATAATTTTCGTATCGTTCATTCTCTTTGATTTCTTTTCTATTCAACTAAGCAACAAACTATTT